AGCTTTGGTTAATCTGCAATCGTTTGACATCCGATTTAAACATAAGTATTAACAAGTATTTGACTGTCAAATTTTTGGTTGATTCTGCCGAGCACTAGTTACGTTTTGATATTTATATACTAAAAATGCATTAATAACGGAGGTTTGATAACATTTTGCATAAAATTAATCCTCCACACTTACGAACAATTAAACCTTATTTTTTCAAAAAAAAAAAAGTTTTATTCTATTTATATAACTAAAATATGGTTTAGCAATTTGCTAAAGATGAGGGTTTTACTCCCACATCATTACAATGGACAAATAAATTATATACCAAACAAAGTGGTATATTATTTAACCATATTTCATAAATGTTCATACATAAACTATTTTTTCTATATACAAGAAAAATACCTTGTACAGATAAATTTTAAATACAATATATAATTTTTGGAATAGCTATTTAAAAAAAAAAAAAAAAAGACGATGAGCCCTATGGCTCGTCGACAGCATTGGCTTGTCGGTTGAGGAACCGATAATTTTAAAATGTTTTTAATAATAATGCTGTTTTTCGGCTTGATAGCCTTAAAAAAATTTTCTTTTTTCTTCCGACCGTGTGTTTATCACGGTTCATTAACTTCGGAAATTTTCTTTGAATTTTTCTTTAAAAAATTTTATTTACGCAAAATATATTGTTTCATTAAGATTTATTTTAGAATCGTTAAAATTAATGTCATGAATATATAAAAATTTTTTCGTTCAAAAACCAGCTTCTTTTATATATTATCGGAATTATGATTACGGAAGAAAAGGTTTATCCGCATAATATATGGACATTGTGTGCTTTTTTAGAAATTTGGCTGTTCAAAAAGCTATCGCTATGGGCTTATCCATCTAGAAAAGGATAAATTATGCAAATACGTACAGAGTGATTTTTGACATTACAGTACCGTTACTGCATACGTACGTATTAACATTAATAATTTTTACGTATCGGTATTACATACGTATTATATTCCCACGGGACTTAAGTATGAAATTTGAGGTTTTGATACGTGATAATTTGAAGCTGAAAGATTATAAAATTCCTTTAAAAGATAATTATGGATTCCGAAAGAGAAGAAAATGAGAGTTCGATTCGGATGTCAAATCATATTACTGTATTAATAATTTGGACATTCATTTCTATATGCATTTTAAAAATAGGGAATATCCGGACTTTAGATAGGATAATTACTCTTTTTGTAGTATTACATTATAATTTGTGAAACAAATATATCGATATTTTGATACGTATACATTTGATTATGCAGATAGCAATTGAATTACACAACTAATTTTGCTTACCGTTACTATTCTATGTAGGTCAGAATGTGAAACCAAATGCTTATCATTTTTAATAACTAGCTCCAATCATTTCAAAAGTTTTATTTTTTTCAAAATAACCATTACAGCATTACATGAATTGACAAAAAAAAAAAAAAAAATCCAATCCACGAAAAATCTCTGTACATGTAACCAAACTTTATAAAAAGAACCCTATTTACATTTAAGATGCTAGTATAAATTATGTACAAAAAAAAACCATGTAGAGAAATAGGTGAAAAAAAAAATATGATTTGAATACGTGCGTTATAGGGATAAGAAAAATAGTCCTATTATATGTATAATTATTTTGAATATAATATATACTGTCACGTAATAATAATTAAATATAAGTATATATGTTTTTGTCGTCATTAAACAAGAATTACATTATAAAAGTATCATTGAAAAATTCCTTCTTTTGCATCGACATCAGCATCATAAAGGATTCTCTTAAATAAAGTCCAAATAAAAGTAAAAGTGAGAAATGTAACAAATCTTATTACTTTGTTCATAATCCCACAATACTTCTCCTTCCAAATAAAATTTCCAAAGTGTTTCTTCTTGGACGATCCTGTATATTTCCACCATTAGATGATGATCTTGAAGGATTCTGTGAATTCTCTGTACTTGACTCTTCTGGGCTACTTGCGTATGTCATATGCGAATATTTTGATATTGAATCCGAATGCAATGTTATTAAAAGAACGATGAATCCAATAATAAACGAGACGTCATCAGTGATACGAGTTATCCAAAAATTGCGAATTGTCGGGTTTAAGAAAGCTGTAACCAATGTTCGAACAGTGATGAAGAGAAAGGATAGTATCAACGAAATTGTTAATACACCAGTCTAGAAATCAATAGTTAATATTAATAATCTATCATTATGACTTTTAATTTCATAAAAATCCAAGTAATGACTTACCTCGAAAATTTTTTTATTAATCCGAACCCTCATTATTTGCTCATTATTTCTTTGAGAAGTCCTTCCATTTTGTTCATTATTTCTTGGAGCATTCGGTTCAACTATAGGGACTAGATCATTTTTTCTTGCTAATATCATTATAATTCCAAATATCGCATACCCGCAAATAACAAATAAAATAAAAATCGTTTCCAGAACGATATTAACAATCATGAAAACTTTTCCTAATTTCGAGATGATATACACATGTGCAAGGACATAAGAAAGAAAGGAAATAATTTTGATCAGCCCGTCTAATAAAATGACTATAAAAAAGATCTTGCTTATTTGCCGAACATGCATAACTTTATAATCAAGATCTTCAGCAAGATGTAGTGTTGCTTTTACCCTAATTATTAAAAAAAAAAATATATGTATATATTTATCATTGTGTTATGCTAAATAAAGAGTTTGTTTATTTTTTGTAATCTTACCATGGGAACAAAAATATTGTGTAATTAATACACAGAAAAAAATAACCTAGATTAACAAGAGTTTGGTACTCTAGGTCGGAAATTCTATGATAACGTATACCCCATGGGTCATACGTAAATAATACCGGGAATACTTTAAGTAAAATAAGTTTATATTAATAATTATTGCGTACAAATTAATGTATAGATATCATGATAATTATCATAATAATTAAATATACTTACTAGTAGCACATATAACAATCCCAGCAAGTAACCATGGTTTAGGATTATCTAGAGAAAATTTTCTTTTGTAAACGCCCCATAAAATTAGACCAAGTGATATTATTAAAATGCTGCCATATAATATTCCAGATATTAATGTCCAGATCAGAAAAGTTTTACTATTGAGTAAATTTATCCAAGGACCAGAATCTTAAAAATAATAATAGTAATTAGTTAAAATAAATTAAATATTAATCATAAAAAAAAAGAATGATATGTATTTTTTATCAATATTAAATACCTGGTATAATTACAGCATATGAGATTTGATCCGAGAGATTGTGAACATCTTTCATATCTGCTATTCGCATTAGGGTCAAGACAGGCGCAACTTTAGAAAGCGTCTCTAAATTGCCAACATAATTTTCCTTAATGCCTGGATCTCCATTATTCATTGAAGTAAATATCACTACTTTTATTTGTGGTTGACTATTGAGACTATCAAATGAAAAAGATTTTATTATATTACGTGGCTTTATATGTTCTTTGACTACGCGTTTATTTGGACGCGTCAGTGATTCCGTCTCATATGATATGTCTATCATTGTTACAGAAGAACCATGATTTTTTGTATTTGTGGGTGAATTTGTAGCGATATATTCATTTGTCACCGTGGATTGATGATTAGAACTTTGTGCCGTAGATGGTGATGATGAAATTACAGTAGCATTTACACTAATTGGTTTATTTGTTGTTTGAAGCCATAAATTACTAATTATAAGAATGAAAATATGATAAAGATTTAAAAAAATTAGCAAAAAAGGTTATCTGTTATAATAAAGATATAAAAAAATATTATAAAATTTACTTTTCAATTATATCCGCGTAAGATGAACAACCATAATTCAATCCTTCATTAAATGGTACCAATAGTATGACAGTATTTATAGGAACAGAATTTAAAGTACAAGAATTGTTATTGTTAAAGGAGGCAATCGCAATGGTACCATTAATCAGTTCGAATGATGATGTATCAATCCACATAAAGTCTACAGTAGAATAGCTTTCAATAAATTCATTGCTTATATTATAAAGTAATAGGCTTGCGTTGCAGACTTTGGAAAATGTGAGCCAAATAAGGAGGATTCGTAAAGACCAATTAAAAAATAACTTGTTTAAAAGATTTATCCGCCCGAACATAGCATAAATTAAAGTGTGCAATTGTTTGTTCTTAAGAAGTGAAGATAAATAACAAGAATACACTAAACTTAAAGGTATATAGAACAGAAACACACTCGTTAAATATACGTTAATATGCCAAAAGAAATGTGGCAAATTAATTATGCCAAGTTCGGGCGTATCTTAAGAGTATCCACCTATATAAAATGAGGCTCGAAAAAAGAAAGCTAAGATTGGAAAGACGCTAAAAACTTTTCGGACACAAATGGGGTTTTTATATATACCAAAATTAGCTGCAGCTAATTTTATTGTTAAATGGTGTATATTTATATGTAACTCATTTTATATTAAAGCTTCCTTTTTCAGAGAAATGTTTATTTCTTTTTAGTTGATAAACAAAAAAATTGATGGACATTAATTTAGGACAAATCGATCTACACCTTTTGACTTAGAGTAAATTTTTTTTTGTAAAAAGAAATATTGGTTATGATTTCCGAAAAAAAAAAACCGTGATTTTTTATTATTATTATTATTATTATTATATTCAAGATTGAAAACCGGGAATAATTTTTTACCTTTATTTGCAGCACTCAAATTTTTTTTTTTTTTCAACGGTGATACATTTTTATTTGCATTTGGAGTAACAATCCTAAACCTAATATGTCAAGTTATCTCCATGCGGATGATTTGATAGGCATGAATTCGGCTTTTTTGAAAAATATTATTCTTCTTTCTTTCCTTCTTCGTGATCACAAATTTTGTTCGAACTACTATTCTAATTTATTGTTGATAATCTAGAAACTATGTATATGATATGGTTTCAGAAATCTTTCTAATTCAGGATGTTTTTATGATGATTAACTAGAACTCTTTAAGACAAGGACGTAAATTTTTTTACATAACACTCGGTCTTTGTAAATTTTTTGTAAATAAACTTTTAAATTTAGGCATATATGTATGCGTGCATACGTATTTGCATACATACTTACGTACTGTACTGTACGCTGTACTTAGGTTCATAACTGATGATAACTGATAACTGATAACTGATAAAAGTACAAAAGTATACGTATGCGACGTACTTCACTGTACGTACCAATTTAACATTAATGATTTTATTCAACAAATGTATCTTGAAATAAAGATTTTTTTCAATAAACAAATTTACAGTACATACTAACATACTTATAATATTACATAATAGCATTTAATGCATTCATGAGCTTTTTATTTGACGAGTTTATTTACACCCATGTAACATAACATGTCGATTTTCAAGTAATTTGATACTTTTTTTTGAAACTCAGGGTCCTATAATCGGAATGATGTTTTCATTTAATTTAACTTAAAGGAATAAAAAGACTTTAGGATCTATTATAAATTCTTGTGTAAATATTTCCAAATAAAGTGTTTTTTTATGCTTCGTATACGTTATGTGCTATTAAATTTCATAATTAAAAAAAAAGAAAAAACAGATGTAAATGATTAATATAATAAATGCATAACCCCCATCTTTTACAAAAAATATTGTTACATGTTACATCGGCTTTTTTTTAAAAAAAGAAAAAAAATTTAAGTTCTCGCATGACTACTTGAGTGTTTTTTTTAGTTCTCGGAGGACACGGAATTCATTTAAATGTTAAATAATTCCACTACGTATAAACAAAACAGCGATCTTTTTTTGAACACCAAAAAAAAAAATAAACACATGTTATTTCCTTATTAGGGTGTAATGCAGTCGGAAATCTTTTTATTTTATTCCATATTTAACTTATTTGTCTGTTGATTTCGATGAAAAATTCCTCTTATCAAAAAGCTCTATAAGTCTACTTACTGTGGCTTAACCATTTTTATTTATAAGTTCGGTTTGGTTTATGCTATCTCAAAACTAATCAATTATAGTATAACTCATAACGATAATGAAATTGGCTGATCAAAGTTTTATGTACAAAACCTGATATCAGTAATTTTCATCAATTTCTGCGTATTATCAATTTAGCCTCTTTGCCAAATTTGATAGCTTTTTTTTTTTAAAAAAAAAAAACTCGGCCGATCATAAATTGGCTTAGTTGGCTTTTTTTGTCATCTTGTTTAAATTTTTTGATTATTAATGTATAATAATGTTAATTAATAAACGCAATTAATGGTCACAAGGTATGTTTATGATTTGCAATATTTTACATAATTATTTTATTATACCGAAAATAAATACCATATCTGTGTGTCTTTTAATATGTATTAACGTTAACGTTTAACAAAACATTTAATAACTAGCAATGTTACATGTGGCGGAAGACTTCGTCGCTCGATTGCAGTTTTCAGTTTGAATTGTCACTTGATTTGACATGCGGTATATCTAATTAGTGATCTAATTTACCATTATCGCTATAGTGATTAAGTATTGTGATCCTGTATTTGGTTAGCAATATAGTATAATATGAAGTAATAAAAAAGGATGTGTAAGAAGTGATTGTTTTTTTTTTTTTTTGAGAACCTGGTGAACCCGATTGTTGATCTGATTTTCTATTTTGAATGATAGAAGGCTGATTAGTCATGTCAGTGTCATGTCCAATCTTGACTTTTGCAGTGAAAAAAATTCAAAGTCAAAATTTGGTGCGCAACGCGCACCAAATTTTAAACTCAGGTGCCAGAACAGGATTAACTATATTGCACACATTATTTTAAAATAATTATTAAAAAGTTACGTGCGCTTTACGCACAATTTTATATCTTTTTTGTGCGCAAAAAAATTTTTATGTGCGGACCGCACATGCGCACATCCAATTTTTTTCACTGGACATTTGGACTCCAATAAAAAATTTTATTTGGATTTGGATAAATATGGACATGGACTAATCCAAATAGTGACCATGTCCTTATCTTCTTTGCCGAATTTTTCGGGTTTACCCTTTTCATATTGTCCATGTCCATATTTTGCCAACACTGGTCATGTCACAAATATTGTCGGTCCTGTGATCTACTGAAAATTAGTCGAACAAAAATAATGAACCACGCAACAAAATCGGCTACTTATCATTGATATTATATATTATATAGTTTTAATATGCACTTTTTTAGAGGTAATTAATTTCATAAATTCCGGGACAACTGAAAATTTTTCTAATGATCGAATCGATAATTTACCGAGTCAGAATCAATAAGTAACCGACTACGACTGAACTCAGAAGCTTATCGATTCGGTCATCAGCAAATTTTTCAGTTGCCCGAGAATTTATGAGAACAGCTGTAAGTAAATCCGGATTCAATTTTTTGGAACGAATATATTCAGATATAATATTCAGATATAATATAATTCGGTTATAGGTCATAACATCCTTTGAAAAAGGGGTTTGTACTAGCGTTCCACACGATCCGAAAATTCGGATCGGGTCCAAGTATGGATCTGGATCCGTGTTTAAATAGACGGACCCTCGGATTTTAATGACGGATCGGATCTTTATGTGGATCTGAATTCGGCGAATCTTAAAATCATATTTGTATTATCTAAATTTTTGTTTATTTTTAGATATAAAATCATGTGTTATTATATTAATCAAGGCGAGAGTAAGTCTACGGACACCTACAAATTGACACAACATTCACATGACCTATATTCTTATCAGCACAACAAGATCGACAGAAGTCTCGATTATTTGATGTGCAATCAGTACAGCAGTATTGCTATGTAAATCGATTATCTAATACGTATTAATGTTTATCTATTACCGTAAATGGCCATATAAACGACCCGTGGTGGGATCTACTAGAGGATTTAGAATTTTGGAGGTAGCTACCCAGCAAAAATATCACGGCGATACGGCATATTTGCCGTATAAGTGTTATATAAAAGATGATTTATTAATTGGTGAATTAAAAAAGTGATCAAACACTTATTTACTACTAACTAATACTTTTCAGATTACCATTCTATTCGGTCAGTGAGTAATACAATAAATTTTTAATGATATAAAATATCTATAATATTTGACGATGATTAGAATGGTAACTTAAATACGGCAAAAGTATACATTATAATTAGGGTGTCTGGCATAGTGACAAAGGCATGCCAAAAACAAATTTGGCTTGCCGCTAGTTACAGTATAAAAATTATATTTATAATATTCATACCATACATATGTTATAGTCAGACCTCCCTAAATGCATATTCCCTATATGCATAGTCTATGAAAGACCTCTCTAAATGTACGGCCTTATTTGGCCTCAACTAATATGACATTATAGATTTTTACCTCTCTAAAAAATACAAGATTTTTTGGCCGCCTCACGGCTATGTATTTAGAGAGGTCTGACTGTATTATAAATATATACACCATTTTATGGCATGACATGGCACAAATTTTAACAAAAGGCATGTTTGGCGTACCAAACACCTTAATTGTAATAAAGACAATAAGTTTAAAACATGGTTCTTAGCATGTGATCCCGATAAGCCAAAATGGGAATAATATTAATTATTGCATCAGAGGATTTTAGCTTAGAACCATGGGAATGTAATTGAACGGACTCATTCAATAAATCACCGTACGTATAAGCGCAAAATAAAGCTCGTGGGCGTCATTTTGAAAATCGAATTCTTCAAAAATAACTTATATGTTCTTGCTCATGGGCTTCCCGAATTAACGCGACGCTCCATATGTACACTCTCTATAAGTGCACTTTCCCTATAATGATAAGCGCACATAATCTGATCGGTCTAATGTAATTATTTAATATTATCGTCATTATGAGATTATGCTCCATAAATGAATATTCTATAAATGCACTTTTACCCTAAAACATGCAATTATAGAAGGTTGATTGTATTGGATTTAGAAAATCTATTCTTATTTCGAAATAACACATAT